CCCTACAGTACAGCACTCTCTGACCATCTCACCTCATGACCTCACTGGGCACACCTCTAACTCCCTACAGTACAGCACTCTCTGACCATCTCACCTCATGACCTGACTGGGCTACCCCTAACTCCCCCTACAGTACAGCACTCCCTCTGGACCATCTCACCTCATGACCTCACTGGGCTACTCCCAACTCCCCCTACAGTACAGCACTCTCTGGACCATCTCACCTCATGACCTGACTTGGCTGGCTCCCTAACTCCCCTACAGTACAGCACTCTCTGACCATCTCACCTCATGACCTCACTGGGCTACCCTAACTCCCCTACAGTACAGCAGCACTCTGACCATCTCACCTCATGACCCTCACTGGGCTACCTCCTAACTCCCCTACAGGCTATCTCCCCAACTGGGCCCCCTAACACAGTACAGCACTCTCTGACCATCTCACCTCATGACCTCACTGGGCTACCCTAACTCCCCTACAGTACAGCACTCTCTGACCATCTCACCTCATGACCCTCACTGGGGCTACCCTAACTCCCCTACAGTACAGCACTCTCTGACCATCTCACCTCATGACCTCACTGGGCTACCCCAACTCCCCTACAGTACAGCACTCTCTGACCATCTCACCTCATGACCTGACTGGGCTACCCCAACTCCCCTACAGTCTCAGCACTCTCTGACCATCTCACTACCTCATGACCCTCACTGGGCTACCCCTAACTCCCCCTACAGTACAGCACTCTCCTGACCATCTCACCTCATGACCTCACTGGGCTACCCCAACTCCCCTACAGTACAGCACTTTCTGACCATCTCACCTCATGACCTCACTGGGCTACTCCTAACTCCCTACAGTACAGCACTCTCTGACCATCTCACCTCATGACCTTCACTGGGCTACACCCCAACTCCCCCTACAGTACAGCACTCTGACCATCTCACCTCATGACCTCACTGGGCTACCCTAACTCCCCTACAGTACAGCACTCTCTGACCATCTCACCTCATGACCTCACTGGGCTACTCCCAACTCCCCTACAGTACAGCACTCTCTGACCATCTCACCTCATGACCTCACTGGGCTACCTCCTAACTCCCCTACAGTACAGCACTCTCCTGACCATCTCACCTCATGACCTGACTGGGCTACCCTAACTCCCCTACAGTACAGCACTCTCTGACCATCTCACCTCATGACCTGACTGGGCTACCCCTAACTCCCCTACAGTACAGCACTCTCTGACCATCTCTTTTCCTCATGACCTCACTGGGCTACCCCTAACTCCCCTACAGTACAGCACTCTCTGACCATCTCACCTCATGACCTCACTGGGCTACCCTAACTCCCCCTACAGTACAGCACTCTCTGACCATCTCACCTCATGACCTCACTGGGCTACCCTAACTCCCCTACAGTACAGCACTCTCTGACCATCTCACCTCATGACCTCACTGGGCTACCCCAACTCCCCTACAGTACAGCACTCTCTGACCATCTCTCACCTCATGACCTCACTGGGCTACCCTAACTCCCCCTACAGTACAGCACTCTCTCTGACCATCTCACCTCATGACCTCACCTCACTGGGCTACCCCCCCCCTACAGTACAGCACTCTCTGACCATCTCACCTCATGACCTCACTGGGCTACTCCCAACTCCCCTACAGTACAGCACTCTCTGACCATCTCTCACCTCATGACCTCACTGGGCTACCCCAACTCCCCTACAGTACAGCACTCTCTGACCATCTCACCTCATGACCTCACTGGGCTACCCCAACTCCCCTACAGTACAGCACTCTCTGACCATCTCACCTCATGACCTCACTGGGCTACCCCAACTCCCCTACAGTACAGCACTCTCTGACCATCTCACCTCATGACCTCACTGGGCTACTCCCAACTCCCCTACAGTACAGCACTCTCTGACCATCTCACCTCATGACCTCACTGGGCTACCCCTAACTCCCCTACAGTACAGCACTCTCTGACCATCTCACCTCATGACCTCACTGGGCTACCCCAACTCCCCTACAGTACAGCACTCTCTGACCATCTCACCTCATGACCTCACTGGGCTACCCCAACTCCCCTACAGTACAGCACTCTCTGACCATCTCACCTCATGACCTCACTGGGCTACCCCAACTCCCCTACAGTACAGCACTCTCTGACCATCTCACCTCATGACCTGACTGGGCTACCCCAACTCCCCTACAGTACAGCACTCTCTGACCATCTCACCTCATGACCTCACTGGGCTACCCCTAACTCCCCTACAGTACAGCACTCTCTGACCATCTCACCTCATGACCCTCACTGGGCTACCCCAACTCCCCTACAGTACAGCACTCTCTGACCATCTCACCTCATGACCTCACTGGGCTACCCCAACTCCCCTACAGTACAGCACTCTCTGACCATCTCACCTCATGACCTCACTGGGCTACCCTAACTCCCCTACAGTACAGCACTCTCTGACCATCTCACCTCATGACCTCACTGGGCTACCCTAACTCCCCTACAGTACAGCACTCCTCTGACCATCTCACCTCATGACCTCACTGGGCTACCCTAACTCCCCTACAGTACAGCACTCTCTGACCATCTCACCTCATGACCTCACTGGGCTACCCTAACTCCCCCTACAGTACAGCACTCTCTGACCATCTCACCTCATGACCTCACTGGGCTACCCCTAACTCCCCCCTACAGTACAGCACTCTCTGACCATCTCACCTCATGACCTGACTGGGCTACCCCAACTCCCCTACAGTACAGCACTCTCTGACCATCTCACCTCATGACCTCACTGGGCTACCCCAACTCCCCTACAGTACAGCACTCTCTGACCATCTCACCTCATGACCTCACTGGGCTACCCCTAACTCCCCTACAGTACAGCACTCTCTGACCATCTCACCTCATGACCTCACTGGGCTACCCCAACTCCCCTACAGTACAGCACTCTCTCTGACCATCTCACCTCATGACCTCACTGGGCTACCCCTAACTCCCCTACAGTACAGCACTCTCTGACCATCTCACCTCATGACCTCACTGGGCTACCCTAACTCCCCCTACAGTACAGCACTCTCTGACCATCTCACCTCATGACCTCACTGGGCTACCCTAACTCCCCCTACAGTACAGCACTCTCTGACCATCTCACCTCATGACCTCACTGGGCTACCCTAACTCCCCCTACAGTACAGCACTCTCTGACCATCTCACCTCATGACCTGACTGGGCTACCCTAACTCCCCTACAGTACAGCACTCTCTCTGACCATCTCACCTCATGACCTCACTGGGCTACCCCAACTCCCCTACAGTACAGCACTCTCTGACCATCTCACCTCATGACCTCACTGGGCTACCCCTAACTCCCCTACAGTACAGCACTCTCTGACCATCTCACCTCATGACCTCACTGGGCTACCCCAACTCCCCTACAGTACAGCACTCTCTGACCATCTCACCTCATGACCTCACTGGGCTACCCCTAACTCCCCTACAGTACAGCACTCTCTGACCATCTCACCTCATGACCTCACTGGGCTACCCCAACTCCCCTACAGTACAGCACTCTCTGACCATCTCACCTCATGACCCCTCACTGGGCTACTCCCAACTCCCCTACAGTACAGCACTCTGACCATCTCACCTCATGACCTCACTGGGCTACCCCAACTCCCCTACAGTACAGCACTCTCTGACCATCTCACCTCATGACCTCACTGGGCTACCCCAACTCCCCCTACAGTACAGCACTCTCTGACCATCTCACCTCATGACCTCACTGGGCTACCCTAACTCCCCTACAGTACAGCACTCTCTGACCATCTCACCTCATGACCTCACTGGGCTACCCCAACTCCCCTACAGTACAGCACTCTCTGACCATCTCACCCTCATGACCTCACTGGGCTACCCCAACTCCCCTACAGTACAGCACTCTCTGACCATCTCACCTCATGACCTCACTGGGCTACCCCAACTCCCCTACAGTACAGCACTCTCTGACCATCTCACCTCATGACCTGACTGGGCTACCCCAACTCCCCTACAGTACAGCACTCTCTGACCATCTCACCTCATGACCTCACTGGGCTACCCCAACTCCCCTACAGTACAGCACTCTCTGACCATCTCACCTCATGACCTCACTGGGCTACCCCAACTCCCCTACAGTACAGCACTCTCTGACCATCTCACCTCATGACCTGACTGGGCTACCCCAACTCCCCTACAGTACAGCACTCTGACCATCTCACCTCATGACCTCACTGGGCTACCCCAACTCCCCTACAGTACAGCACTCTCTGACCATCAGCACTCTCTGACCATCTCACCTCATGACCTGACTGGGCTACCCCAACTCCCCTACAGTACAGCACTCTCTGACCATCTCACCTCATGACCTCACTGGGCTACCCCAACTCCCCTACAGTACAGCACTCTCTGACCATCTCACCTCATGACCTGACTGGGCTGCCCCAACTCCCCTACAGTACAGCACTCTCTGACCATCTCACCTCATGACCTCACTGGGCTACCCCCTAACTCCCCTACAGTACAGCACTCTCTGACCATCTCACCTCATGACCTCACTGGGCTACCCCTAACTCCCCTACAGTACAGCACTCTCTGACCATCTCACCTCATGACCTGACTGGGCTACCCTAACTCCCTACAGTGCAGCACTCTCTGACCATCTCACCTCATGACCTCACTGGGCTACCCCAACTCCCCCTACAGTACAGCACTCTCTGACCATCTCACCTCATGACCTCACTGGGCTACCCCAACTCCCCTACAGTACAGCACTCTCTGACCATCTCACCTCATGACCTCACTGGGCTACCCCAACTCCCCTACAGTACAGCACTCTGACCATCTCACCTCATGACCTCACTGGGCTACCCCAACTCCCCTACAGTACAGCACTCTCTGACCATCTCACCTCATGACCTGACTGGGCTACCCCAACTCCCCTACAGTTCAGCACTCTCTGACCATCTCACCTCATGACCTGCTAACATGAAGGTCATCACATGATCTCTCAGCTGTTGCCGTGACAACCCTTCCCCTGACTCTGTATCCCGCGCCAGCAGCAGCATGCTAAGAAGGTCAGTGAGTTTACTCTCATCTGTAATGATAAAAATCACATGGGTCATTTCACGCAGCTCTGATCAGTATTTCAGGCGCATCATGACATGACGGCGTAATTTGTGAGGGGGCCAAGTTGGCATAGGTCCTAGACATTTACCACTTTCATCAACTGTCAGCACAAGTATGGTGCTGAGAATGTCCAAAGTTGATGCTGCAGGACAAGAAAGTTCTGATGGGATTTGTGTCTGAGGTCCCTAATGACAGGTTCATCATTGGATCTAAGTAGATATTTCCCTAATGACAGGTACGTAATTGGATCTAAGTAGATATTTCCCTAATGACAGGTTCATCATTGGATCTAAGTAGATATTTCCCTAATGACAGGTACGTAATTGGATCTAAGTAGATATTTCCCTAATGACAGGTTCATCATTGGATCTAAGTAGATATTTCCCTAATGACAGGTTCAGCATTGGATCTAAGTAGATATTTCCCTAATGACAGGTTCAGCATTGGATCTAAGTAGATATTTCCCTAATGACAGGTTCAGCATTGGATCTAAGTAGATATTTCCCTAATGACAGGTTCAGCATTGGATCTAAGTAGATATTTCCCTAATGACAGGTTCATCATTGGATCTAAGTAGATATTTCCCTAATGACAGGTTCAGCATTGGATCTAAGTAGATATTTCCCTAATGACAGGTTCAGCATTGGATCTAAGTAGATATTTCCCTAATGACAGGTTCAGCATTGGATCTAAGTAGATATTTCCCTAATGACAGGTTCATCATTGGATCTAAGTAGATATTTCCCTAATGACAGGTTCATCATTGGGTCTAAGTAGATATTTCCCTAATGACAGGTTCATCATTGGATCTAAGTAGTTATTTCCCTAATGACAGGTTCATCATTGGGTCTAAGTAGATATTTCCCTAATGACAGGTTCATCATTGGGTCTAAGTAGATATTTCCCTAATGACAGGTTCACCATTGGATCTAAGTAGATATTTCCCTGATGACAGGTTCATCATTGGATCTAAGTAGATATTTCCCTAATGACAGGTTCATCATTGGATCTAAGTAGATATTTCCCTAATGACAGGTTCATCATTGGATCTAAGTAGATATTTCCCTAATGACAGGTTCATCATTGGATATAGGTATATATTTCCCTAATGACAGGTTCATCATTGGATCTAAGTAGATATTTCCCTAATGACAGGTTCATCATTGGATATAGGTATATATTTCCCTAATGACAGGTTCATCATTGGATCTAAGTAGATATTTCCCTAATGACAGGTTCATCATTGGATCTAAGTAGATATGTCCCTAATGACAGGTTCATCATTGGATCTAAGTAGATATTTCCCTAATGACAGGTTCATCACTGGATATAGGTATATATTTCCAGGACGAAAAAAGTTCTGATTGGATTTGTGTCTGAGGTCTGACAGCCTGTCAACATGACCCAAGAGATTAACCTTGCTTGCAAGCTGACAATGTAAGGATGTCATCTGTTAATTTCATGCAATACAACATAGATCATAGACCTTTTTGGTGAATCCTGTGCGTGTAACAGAGGACTTTCTTCTGGTAAATTCTTCGGTTCATTCTCACTTATCCACCACCCTTTAGTTTTGACAAGGGATTAGATGGGATTAGTTGACACGGGTTAGTGATTACACTGCTCACTCTGAAATTTGGTCCTGGTGGGTGACACTAATTAGCTGATTTGCCCTGTTACAGTGAACAGTGTTCGTGAACTTTAATTAAATTGTGTCGATTATGCTATTTCTGTTTTTTTAATTCAGTGAACACTTTTCACTATTACACGATTATAAAATGGTACATGAGGTTCTTAAATGGTCAGTCACGATGGCTAACCAACAGGTTAATGTCCAGTTTATTCCTAATGGTAGAGGTGGTCAGTACTTAGTGTTCCAAAATCACAAGTTTGTAGTTAAAAGAAGACGAGGAACATCTGTCCATTGGAACTGCGCCCAGAAGAACTGCCATGCCACGCTTTAACACCAAAGATAATATTCTCCGTCCTACAGAGACCAGCATAACCATGCATCTGTGGAGAATAGAATCGCTGTAGATTCTTTCTTGGCCAATCTTAAGGACCTTGTCCGAAAAGATTCCAAACCAATTCCATCTCTTTATCAGGAGGAGTTATCAGGTAAATATTAACATAAATACTTGGCAACTTTTTAATTACTATTAAATACTAAAATACTACAACAGTTTTCTTTGAATTTAACATTGTGTTTCTCTGTTCTAGGTCTGAGAGTGATGAATCCTGACATCATTGCAGAAGTGCCCATCTTTGACAGTGTACGTCCTGCTCTATACCGCTCGAGCCAAAGACATCCCCATCTGCCAGCAACTAGATCAGCAATAGATCTTCCCGATGCATATACTAAGGCGCATGCCAATGACAACTTCCTGCTGTTTTCTCACGGCGACCATGACAAGATCCTGACCTTGGCGACTGGCGAGAACCTCGCGACTTCTCTCGAAGCAGATGTGTACTACTGTGACGGAACATTTGACAAGTGCCCTGGTGTGTTCACCCAGCTTTACACCATTCATGCATTTGTGCAAAATAAGATGTGCCCTTTGGTGTATGGTCTGCTCCCAGATAAAAAGCAGTCGACATATGAACGTTTCTTTGGAAATGTGAAGAATGTAGCGGCCTCTAAGAACATTGTATTGGATCCAGTGAGTGTGTTCACTGATTTTGAGTCAGCTGCTCAAAACGCCATCAAGATGACTTTTCAAAATGCCATATTAAAGGGTTGCTACTTTCACTTTAGCCAGAGTGTTTGGAGAAAAGTTCAGAAGCTTGGAATGGTAACTGAATGGTAACTGAATTCTTGAAAAAAGAACAATCTTACGTAGAGGCATCATGTATGCAATTAAGAGGAGGTGCCAAACCTCCTCGCAAGAAAGTTAAATATGTCAATTTAACAAACAGATTATGTAACATCAAACAGCAATTCTTGGCTGGCCATATGGATGTATATGCATATTGGGATGCAGTATCCCATTTAACAGGCAATTGAGGATTGTCATAGATATTGAATGTATTGTTAATTTTGATATTGTATGTATTGTTGAAATAAAAAAAAATGTAGAAAGACTTACTTTTTTACTACTACATTCAAGGGGGGATCTTATTTCACAGGGAACAAAATTTCAGGGACATCTATTGTCTTGAGGATTATTCCGCTTCAGTGACTTGTCCACCTAGAACAATAGGTGGTGGATAAACGAGAAGACCCCAATTCTTCTGTTGGAATCATGTAACTATAGGTTGTTGCTTCCTTCCAGAAAAAGGGGCAGTTAGGTAGCCCAGTGGTTAAAGCATTCACTCGTTATGCCGAAGATGGGGTTTGAATCCCGAAATGGCCCATTTCTGAAGGGCCCTACCGTGATATTGCTGGAATATTGCTAAAAGCGGCGGAAAACTAAACTCACACTCACCTTCAAGGAAATGTAATCTAGATTATCTAGTTTACACCTAAATTAAATTCCCCCCCACACACCTCCACCCTTATTTCTCACCCTTTCCTCCACAAAATATCATCCCAAAAACATCATAAAAAAGGTCTAAACCATTGACCTGGAATGTCTTGAATTATTGTCTGTTTTGATTGTCTGAACAGCAGGGTGATATTTCTTCTTTGTATTGTAGTCAACAAGTTTGTCATAGTCTGACTGCTTCATGGTAACTGACAGATCACTTAGTCGTCTTACTGATGGTGGGGTCATTATGTTTCTCAAATATCAACAATAACCTGATGTTGATGATATGTCCTAGATATTTGACATCAGATCTAGTCCTCTGTATTCTGATCTTCAGCAATCCAGGTTTGTCATAAGAGGTGATAAACAGGTTTGGTAGGTCAGGCTTGGTGACTTAGTTGATGTTTGTCATCTTATCCCAACATACTATACAATCACTGGATTGTCTGGTCCAGGCTTGACTATTTACAGACTGCCATCATTGACTATCGCTATCGCAATTATGATCAGCATTTCATTAAGTATTATATTTTAAGTAGTTTTCTAGTTAGATTGCAATTCATCGGTTCGCTTTTGAGCTAAACGGATTATACCAAGGTGCCAGACATCTGATGCTCCAGCTAATATAACCTGTCATCACTGTGCACGCCTCTAAGGCTTTCTGCTTGTTGCTAATGTAACCTGTCATCACTGTGCACGCCTCTAAGGCTTTCTGCTTGTTGCTAATGTAACCTGTCATCACTGTGCACTCCTCTAAGGCTTTCTGCTTGTTGCTAATGTAACCTGTCATCACTGTGCACGCCTCTAAGGCTTTCTGCTTGTTGCTAATGTAACCTCTCATCACTGTGCACTCCTCTAAGGCTTTCTGCTTGTTGCTAATGTAACCTGTCATCACCTGTGCCCTCCTCTAAAGCTTTCTGCTTGTTGCTAATGTAACCTGTCATCACTGTGCACTCCTCTAAGGCTTTCTGCTTGTTGCTAATGTAACCTGTCATCACTGTGCACTCCTCTAAGGCTTTCTGCTTGTTGCTAATGTAACCTGTCATCACTGTGCACTCCTCTAAGGCTTTCTGCTTGTTGCTAATGTAACCTGTCATCACCTGTGCACTCCTCTAAAGCTTTCTGCTTGTTGTTAATGTAATAATAATAATTGTTTGTATAGCTTCTAGTTTCCATCATAGATGCTCAACGGGCGCGTTGCATAACATAGTTAAAAACACAATAAGTGTGGAAAAGAGTTCTATTCAGAAGCCATCTTAAAGAAGTAGGTTTTGGAGCAAGTTCTTGAATTGTGAATGTGACTCAGTTCGTCTGAGGGTGACTGGAAGATTGTTCCACAGAGCTGGTGCTGCTACTACAGAAAAAAGGCTCTATCACCCATTGATGTTTTAGTGCTTGGCTGTGTTAGTCTTAACGTATCTTTGATCTAAGAGCTCTTGGTGGGTACATGCAGATGTACAAGCTGGCGAAGGTAGTCACAGGACTGGTCATCGAGAGGCAGTTATGAGTCTGTAGCAGAATCTTGAAGTAGATCCTGTACTTTACTGGAAGCCAGTGAAGGGATTTCAGAACTGGCGATATATGGTCATGGCGATGGGTTCGAGACCACACACGCAGCTGCCATGCGCTTTTGAATTTTCTGCAATTTATAAAGTGTTGAAGATGCTCGCAGGTTGCAAAAGAGTGAGTTGCAATAGTCCAGCTTTGTGATTACAGTGTGTTTGCATTAGAGCTTTGTTGTCTTGTTGTCTAGGAAGTTGCGGAACCTTGTCATCGTTTGTAGTGAAAGCACATCCTCTGCAAGGACTTCATCTAGGGCTTGTTGCTAATGTAGATTTCTGGCTGAGTTTGAGGTCTTCACATCCTCAGTTCCTATCTTGAGCTGGATTCCAAGCATCTTCTGCAGCTGTTGTCATGGCTAATGTAACCTGTCATCACTGTGCACTCCTCTAAGGCTTTCTGCTTGTTGCTAATGTAACCTGTCATCACTGTGCACTCCTCTAAGGCTTTCTGCTTGTTGCTAATGTAACCTGTCATCACTGTGCACTCCTCTAAGGCTTTCTGCTTGTTGCTAATGTAACCTGTCATCACTGTGCACTCCTCTAAGGCTTTCTGCTTGTTGCTAATGTAACCTGTCATCACTGTGCACTCCTCTAAGGCTTTCTGCTTGTTGCTAATGTAACCTGTCATCACTGTGCACTCCTCTAAGGCTTTCTGCTTGTTGCTAATGTAACCTGTCATCACTGTGCACTCCTCTAAGGCTTTCTGCTTGTTGCTAATGTAACCTGTCATCACTGTGCACTCCTCTAAGGCTTTCTGCTTGTTGCTAATGCAACCTGTCATCACTGTGCACTCCTCTAAGGCTTTCTGCTTGTTGCTAATGTAACCTGTCATCATCTGTGCACTCCTCTTAGGCTTTCTGCTTGTTGCTAATGTAACCTGTCATCACTGTGCACTCCTCTAAAGCTTTCTGCTTGTTGCTAATGTAACCTGTCATCACTGTGCACTCCTCTAAGGCTTTCTGCTTGTTGCTAATGTAACCTGTCATCACTGTGCACTCCTCTAAGGCTTTCTGCTTGTTGCTAATGTAACCTGTCATCACCTGTGCACTCCTCTAAGGCTTTCTGCTTGTTGCTAATGACGTCGTGGATCATCTTGTTCGTCACAGACAGATTCCTGGCAAACTTTCTGTTTTCTTCAGATGGCAGGTGGCTGTTTAACCATGGCAAAAACACCCGCATTAGGCTAAATAAAAGATGAAAACATTTAAATTAATGCAGGCATTATATAGTGGCATATTTTACTATGTACATCATGTTCAGTAATAGAAGATTATCAAATAATGAACTGTTTGGGGCTCTTATTGTTCTGCAACATATTCATAATAAGGGATGATCTATGTGTGTATGATCTATGATCTATGTGTGTTCTTGTGCATAGAGCGAAGGTTGCACAACAGTTAAGCAAGGTAGGTAACGATCGCGAAGTCCTTGGATGGGTGACCGTGTTTGGCAACTTGACCCTGAGTGTTTCTAGGACTTCAGTCCTGCTCTGCAACAACTGCATTTCTTCACCCTGCAGAAAATGGGTACCCGGTGGGATACATCACATGACTATTAACTTTCTAGCATCTTACAGGCAGCTTGGGTTATCCAGGGTAAAAAGGTCTGTTGTGTTGTATGCACTTAGAGCATGCCCCCCACAGAGTGGAGTTAGAGCTATATAAGTGGCCTTTTCATTATACTTGTATTCAGAAGGCCTTTTTGTTTCAATACCTGATGTGCAGTATTTTGGGATTATTGTTGTACAGTATTACATCGTATTCAACCAAAAATATGCACACAAAAATATGGTTGCAAAGCTGTGCACCTCACCAGCACCTCACCTCACCAGCACCTCACCTCACCAGCACCTCACCTCACCGGGTTATGATTGATCTTCAGTAACCCATGCTTGTCGTAAGAGGTAACTAACATCATGGTCAGGCTCTCGGTTGACATATGTCATCGTATCCCAAATATTGCAAAGATCGATGCTCATGCTGTTGATCACTGGATTGTCTGGCCCAGACCCGATTATTTACAGACCACCACCATACAGCTGGAATATTGTTGAATGTGGCGTATAACTAACCTCACTCACTCACTGTCACAAATCAGACATTCACAAATCTTTGATTGTAGAAAGTCTGCACAGTGAAAATTCATGCACAGTGACAAATAACATATGTTCACAAATCACACATAGTTTATACTACAGACAACACCCAGGTCTGTTTGAGTTGATTATTTTCAGTACATCTGTGGTCCTACTCACAGCGAAGTGAAATGTGGGTAAAAGTTGTGCTCAACAATCATGCAGATATAGTGACGCGTGTGTGTATGTCTATGTGGGCACATGAGAAGAGTTTGTGTGAGTGTGTGTTTATGTAAGTCTCTTTGTGTGCATGCATGTGTCCATCTGTTTGTCTGTGTAGGGATGGGAGTGTGTGATATTGAAAGTATTTGTGTGTGTGAGTTTGTGTGTTAGTTTGAGTGAGTGAGTGAGGTTTCAGCAATATTAATATTAATAATAATAATAATGTGTCCATTTATATAGCACCAAACTCCACACTAGGTATGCTCATAGCACTAACAATCAAGGCACAGCACATTATTCCAGCACTATCAGGGGACACCTGAAATAGAGAATCGAACCCGGGTCCTCGGCATGAAAAGCAAACGCTTTAACCACTAGGCTACCCTACTGCCTTGTGTTTGTAGGTCTGTGTGATTGTAAGTATGTGTGTGTAGTTCCATAGTGCTACTCCTCTGAGATGCAACCACAAGCCATCAGTCTCCAGGCAAACACTCCCTCTATCCCCCCAAATACAGAGGTGGTCATGGAATCAAACCACAGACCACACTCTCCATCAGACCCTCTGTCCACTTGACCACAGAGACAGTTAGGCTGAAGGGGTCGTTGTCGGCACAGGTACTACAGATACGTACCCCAGGTACCTTTCTGTATACAGATATGTACCCTAAAGAAAGTCAAAATACAGAAACGTACCCGGTACCCTAAAAGGCGGAGGAGTCCATATTCCGCAATCCAAAAGCAAAACCGTATGTAGTTGTTCCCGTTCAACTGACTCTGAGTGGTATTCATATGCATCGCGAAATATCCGTTACTGTGTATTCTCATTATTTACATAACGCAATCAAATGTATCTAATACAACAGTATGACAGTTCCGGTCAAGTATACGGCACAATGGGAATGGAATCGTCCTAGGGTACGTTTCTGTATTCTCATTATGGCCAAGGTACGTTTCTGTATACAGAAACGTACCTGGGGTACATATCTGTAGTACCCGTGCCGACAACAACCCCTTCAGCGACAGTGAGGGAACTGAATCCCCAACATTCCATTCTCCATCAGACGCTCTGTCCACTTGACCACAGAGACAGTTAGGGTACTGAATCCCCAACATTCCACTGTCCAGTCAGGCACTCTATGCACTACATGACAGAGGCAGTTAGGGTACTGAATCCCCAACATTCCACTGTCCAGTCAGGCACTCTATGCACTACATGACAGAGGCAGTTAGGGTACTGAATCCCCAACATTCCACACTCCAGTCAGGCACTCTATGCACTACATGACAGAGGCAGTTAGGGTACTGAATCCCCAACATTCCACACTCCAGTCAGGCACTCTATGCACTACATGACAGAGGCAGTTAGGGTACTGAATCCCCAACATTCTACTCTCCAGTCAGGCACTCTATGCACTACATGACAGAGGCAGTTAGGGTACTGAATCCCCAACATTCCATTCTCCATCAGGCGCTCTGTCCACTTGACCACAGAGGCAGTTAGGGTACTGAATCCCCAACATTCCACTCTCCAGTCAGGCACTCTATGCACTACATGACAGAGACAGTTAGGGTACTGAATCCCCAACATTCCAGTCAGGCTCTCCAGTCAGGCACTCTATGCACTACATGACAGAGACAGTTAGGGTACTGAATCCCCAACATTCCACTCTCCAGTCAGGCACTCTATGCACTACATGACAGAGGCAGTTAGGGTACTGAATCCCCAACATTCCACTCTCCAGTCAGGCACTCTATGCACTACATGACAGAGACAGTTAGGGTACTGAATCCCCAACATTCCACTCTCCAGTCAGGCACTCTATGCACTACATGACAGAGGCAGTTAGGGTACTGAATCCCCAACATTCCCACTCTCCAGTCAGGCACTCTATGCACTACATGACAGAGACAGTTAGGGTACTGAATCCCCAACATTCCACTCTCCAGTCAGGCACTCTATGCACTACATGACAGAGACAGTTAGGGTACTGAATCCCCAACATTCCACTCTCCAGTCAGGCACTCTATGCACTACATGACAGAGAGACAGTTAGAGTCAGGCACTGAATCCCCCAACACTCTCCAGGCACTCTATGCACTACATGACAGAGGCAGTTAGGGTACTGAATCCCCAACATTCCACTCTCCAGTACATGACAGAGGCAGTTAGGGTACTGAATCCCCAACATTCCACTCTCCAGTCAGGCACTCTATGCACTACATGACAGAGGCAGTTAGGGTACTGAATCCCCAACATTCCACTCTCCAGTCAGGCACTCTATGCACTACATGACAGAGGCAGTTAGGGTACTGAATCCCCAACATTCCACTCTCCAGTCAGGCACTCTATGCACTACATGACAGAGGCAGTTAGGGTACTGAATCCCCAACATTCCACTCTCCAGTCAGGCACTCTATGCACTACATGACAGAGGCAGTTAAGGTACTGAATCCCCAACATTCCTACTACATGACAGAGGCAGTTAGGGTACTGAATCCCCAACATTCCACTCTCCAGTCAGGCACTCTATGCACTACATGGCAGGCAGTTAGGGTACTGAATCCCCAACATTCCACTCTCCAGTCAGGCACTCTATGCACTACATGACAGAGGCAGTTAGGGTACTGAATCCCCAACATTCCACTCTCCAGTCAGGCACTCTATGCACTACATGACAGAGACAGTTTTGGGGTACTGAATCCCCAACATTCCACTCTCCAGTCAGGCACTATGCACTACATGACAGAGGCAGTTAGGGTACTGAATCCCCAACATTCCACTCTCCAGTCAGGCACTCTATGCACTACATGACAGAGGCAGTTAGGGTACTGAATCCCCAACATTCCACTCTCCAGTCAGGCACTCTATGCACTACATGACAGAGGCAGTTAGGGTACTGAATCCCCAACATTCCGCTCTCCAGTCAGGCACTCTATGCACTACATGACAGAGGACAGTTAGGGTACTGAATCCCCAACATTCCACTCTCCAGTCAGGCACTCTATGCACTACATGACAGAGACAGTTAGGGTACTGAATCCCCAACATTCCACTCTCCAGTCAGGCACTCTATGCACTATGCACATGACAGAGGCAGTTAGGGTACTGAATCCCCAACATTCCACTCTCCAGTCAGGCACTCTATGCACTACATGACAGAGACAGTTAGGGTACTGAATCCCCAACATTCCACTCTCCAGTCAGGCACTCTATGCACTACATGACAGAGGCAGTTAGGGTACTGAATCCCCAACATTCCACTCTCCAGTCAGGCACTCTATGCACTTCATGCCAGAGGCAGTTGACAGAGGCAGTTAGTACTGAATCCCCAACATTCCACTCTCCAGTCAGGCACTCTATGCACTACATGACAGAGGCAGTTAGGGTACTGAATCCCCAACATTCCACTCTGCAGTCAGGCACTCTATGCACTACAGAGGCCATCCTGATCTACACTCACCTGGGTTTGAAGCCATACAACAGGTCTGTAAAGGCCCTGCATCCCTTCTGCTCTGGTTTATGAAGTGCCTCAGTGTTGTATCCAAACCCGCACTCTGAGATGATGTCCATTGTCTGTCAACAACAAACTTGTTATCATATTTGTTTCCGTGTCATGCTAGTGTCTGCAGCCATCTGGATGCAGGAGCTCTAAAGATACAATGTATCACACAAATGTTCAACTGAAACTAACCTGCTTTTCTACTTAACTGTGCTTCAATGTTCTCTTCTCAAATACTGAACTGTGCTTCTATTTTTAAATGCTTGTGATCAAGTGAACTGTACTTCGTTATTTAGATACTGTTGTTCTACTGACCTGTGCTTCAATATTTAGATATTTATGTTGTGCTGAACTGTGCTTCAATGTCCAGGACTCACCATTCCACTCATGTCAACCCAACATCAAGGACTCACCATTGTACTCATGTCAACCCGATGTCCAGGACTCACCATTCTACTCATGTCAGCCCAATGTCAGGACTCACCATTCTACTCATGTCCAGGACTCCACCATTCTACTCATGTCAACCCCAACATCCAGGACTCACCATTCTACTCATGTCATCCCCCAATGTCCAGGACTCACCATTCTACTCATCCAGGACTCACCATTCTACTCATGTCAACCCAACAGGACTCACCATTCTACTCATGTCATCCCCAATGTTCAGGACTCTCCATTCTACTCATGTCAACCCCAACATCCAGGACTCACCATTCTACTCATGTCAACCCAACGTCCAGGACTCACCATTCTACTCATGTCATCCCCAATGTCCAGGACTCACCATTCTACTCATGTCATCCCCAATGTCCAGGACTCACCATTCTACTCATGTCATCCCCAATGTCCAGGACTCACCATTCTACTCATGTCATCCCCAATGTCCAGGACTCACCATTCTACTCATGTCATCCCCAATGTCCAGGAATCACCATTCTACTCATGTCAACCCAACATCCAGGACTCACCATTCTACTCATGTCATCCCCAACATCCAGGACTCACCATTCTACTCATGTCATTCCCAACATCCAGGACTCACCATTCTACTCATGTCATCCCCAACATCCAGGACTCACCATTCTACTCATGTCATCCCCAATGTCCAGGACTCACCATTCTACTCATGTCATCCCCAATGTCCAGGACTCACCATTCTACTCATGTCATCCCAACGTCCAGGACTCACCATTCTACTCATGTCATCACCCAACATCCAGGACTCACCATTCTACCTCATGTCATCCCCAATGTCCAGGACTCACCATTCTACTCATGTCATCCCCAATGTCCAGGAATCACCATTCTACTCATGTCAACCCAACATCCAGGACTCACCATTCTACTCATGTCATTCCCAACATCCAGGACTCACCATTCTACTCATGTCATTCCCAACATCCAGGACTCACCATTCTACTCATGTCATCCCCAACATCCAGGACTCACCATTCTACTCATGTCATCCCCAATGTCCAGGACTCACCATTCTACTCATGTCATCCCCAATGTCCAGGACTCACCATTCTACTCATGTCATCCCAACATCCAGGACTCACCATTCTACTCATGTCATCACCAACATCCAGGACTCACCATTCTACTCATGTCATCCCCAATGTCCAGGAATCACCATTCTACTCATGTCATCCCAACATCCAGGACTCACCATTCTACTCATGTCATCCCCAACATCCAGGACTCACCATTCTACTCATGTCATTCCCAACATCCAGGACTCACCATTCTACTCATGTCATCCCCAACATCCAGGACTCACCATTCTACTCATGTCAACCCCAATGTCCAGGACTCACCATTCTACTCATGTCATCCCCAATGTCCAGGACTCACCATTCTACTCATGTCATCCCAACATCCAGGACTCACCATTCTACTCATGTCATCCCCAATGTCCAGGACTCACCATTCTACTCATGTCATTCCCAACATCCAGGACTCACCATTCTACTCATGTCATCACCAACATCCAGATCTGTATCTTCGTTTTCCGTCAACTTCTGGGCCCAGAAGTCCACCAGCTCCTCGCCATGTTTCTGTATGGCCGGAATCATGTCTGAAACAGCAACAATGTTTACAAACCCTCAGACGGTGGGAGGACTTCACTACAACATGGTGACAACTTCCTGGTAGTGTGTACCAACAGGCTCTCCTGTCCATGAGGAGATGTGCTGCTGTCACTGCCTGCCTTCGATGTCACACTCATTACTGACTTCTCTTCTTCCATTGTGATATTCAATTTAACAAATGTCAAGTTTATAATTTAGTTGAGTATAGTTGAAACAGTACATTGAAGTGTACATTTAGCAGATATTTCTTACGATTATGGAAAAGGATTTGTCTAGTTTTATCAAGCAACACTTCTCTAAAATATCTGAGAAAATTAAACAATTTTCGTTAAACAATGGCCCATTGAAGAGATTAGATAAATCTGTGAAAGTACTGCTTTGTCATCTCTGGCTAAGTTAAGTGAGGCCAGAGTGATCTTGCTGACATATTGCCAATATCAGCATATAAATCCCATTTGCTCCACTCAGTCTGATAGCTACCTTTCCAGCTGAGTCTGCATTGTCTGTGATGTAGTCTATCTGACACAATGTCCTCTGTACTCACTTTTTAGAAATGAACTCTTGAATGCTCCAAGGCAAAGTTTTCTCTGAGTCAGATGCTGTTCACCATTCAAGCTGATCAAACCATCACCTGTGACTCTTGTGAACAGCCTGCAAGACAAAGATACGCTAGTTGTGTCTAAACAAAGATACGCTAGATGTGTCTAAACAAAGATACACTAGTTGTGTCTAAACAAAGATACGCTAGTTGTGTCTAAACAAAGATACGCTAGTTGTGTTTAAACAAAGATACGCTAGTTGTGTCTAAACAAAGATACGCTAGTTGTGTTTAAACAAAGATACGCTAGTTGTGTCTAAACAAAGATACGCTAGTTGTGTCTAAACAAAGATACGCTAGTTGTGTTTAAACAAAGATACGCTAGTTGTGTCTAAACAAAGATACGCTAGTTCTGTCTAAACAAAATATGCTAGTTGTGTCTAAACAAAGATACGCTAGATGTGTCTAAACAAAGATACGCTAGTTGTGTCTAAACAAAGATACACTAGTTGTGTCTAAACAAAGATACGCTAGTTGTGTTTAAACAAAGATACGCTAGTTGTGTTTAAACAAAGATACGCTAGTTGTGTCTAAACAAAGATACACTAGTTGTGTTTAAACAAAGATACAATTGTTGTGTCTAAACAAAGATATGCTAGTTGTGTTTAAACAAAGATACGCTAGTTGTGTCTAAACAAAGATACGCTAGTTGTGTCTAAACAAAGATATCGCTTAGTTGTGTCTAAACAAAGATCGCTAGTTGTGTTTAAACAAAGATAAGCTAGTTGTGTCTAAACAAAGATACGCTAGTTGTGTCTAAACAAAGATACGCTAGTTGTGTCTAAACAAAGATACGCTTGTTGTGTTTAAACAAAGATACGCTAGTTGTGTCTAAACAAAGATACGCTAGTTGTGTCTAAACAAAGATACGCTAGTTGTGTCTAAACAAAGATACACTAGTTGTGTTTAAACAAAGATACGCTTGTTGTGTCTAAACAAAGATATGCTAGTTGTGTTTAAACAAAGATACGCTAGTTGTGTCTAAACAAAGATACGCTAGTTGTGTCTAAACAAAGATACGCTAGTTGTGTTTAAACAAAGATACGCTAGTTGTGTTTAAACAAAGATACGCTAGTTGTGTCTAAACAAAGATACGCTAGTTGTGTTTAAACAAAGATACGCTAGTTGTGTCTAACAGGCCTATCTGACACTGAGTGAATTGTATTTAGCAAATCAAAACGACCACGCTATTTGGGGAGTGATTTAACACCAGAAGTGTATGGTTGCTACCGTTTCAACACCAAAGTCTGCAAGACAGAATTCCAGATATCCAGGTATTCAGTTATCCGGACGATTTACGCAAAAACGAATGTGTCCAGGTATTCAGGATCTCACTGTATTCGTGTACCATTATGGATTCAGGACACACTGACCTGAAGAGGAACGTTGACTTGACATAGTTCTTGCTGTGAGTGACCATTATGTGCTTCATGGCATCAGCCTCTGCCACCATCAATCTCTGCTGGCCCAGAATATGGTTGTACCTGATCATGCCTGACTTCATCTCCTTCACCCATCTTAAACACAAACATGTCACATATATACATCTTTGGAATGAAAAGTCCACTGATAAATCTAAAACAAGCAAACAGTTATTTACTTAGGAAGGTAATAACGAAATATTTCTGTGGTTTCCATTGCAATATCTCCCAAATATCCATAGTGAAAACCAGTAACCATGGCAACACTGAGTTCCTTATCTAACATCAAAGGATCATGGGGTCCAATCGCAATTTGTTTTCGAGATCCTTGGTCTGTCATCATCATACTAAGTAGCATGAAGGTAGAAATAGTACCTCAAGTTGGTTGGTTGGTTGGTTGGTTGGTTGGTTGTTTAACGCCTCACTCAGCAATATTCCCCCTATTGTGGCGGTCAGTAAATTATCGTGTCTGGACCAGACAATCAAGTGATCAACAACAGGAGCATCGATCTATGCAACTGGGATTTGATGACATGTGTCAACCAAGCCAGCGAGCCTAACCACCCGATCCCATTAGTTGCCTCTAATGACAAGCATGGGTTACTGAAGATCAACTTTAACCCAGATCTCCAGGGGTCAGTAATTTAAGTACAGGGGTGGAAATAACTTTAAAATTGCTAGTGTACTCCGGTACAGTGGCACATGTAAAATCACTTGCCCTGATAATTTTTCCACACAGAAAAAAACAGAAAAAAACACTGGACTCGGGCGTCTGGCAATGGGTTATTTCCACCCCTGAAGTACCATGTGTCCCTAGCTGGATGGACACACGTGAAGATATAGGACCAGAGGTGGTCATCCACAATCCATGCTATTCATAAAAGGTGACTGACAGGATTGGATGGTCATGCTTGCTGGTCGGTTCAAGTCACCATATCCCAATTACGTAGATAATGCTCATGATGTCAATCACAGGATTTTATTATTTTCAGACTGCTGTGATATTATTATTATTGTATCCAAATGCTTTTGGGCTGCAATTTTACATGAGACATAGATTTTTGATTCACTCACTATCACTAACTTAAAGGCATCATGTCACACAACATTTCTCTAAAAATAAATAATCCATTTCTCTCAATAAAATTAACTATCAGCCCTCATGGAAGCTACCAAATAATTTATTTAAAACAATTATGTACTAAGATTACAATATCAAATTAAAATGTTCGAATGAATTAATGCAACGTTGCATTAACTGACTCTCGTGCCATCTTCCGGCCGAACATTATTTCAAGCGAACCCAATAGATTTATGTCCCTTGGAGCACTCTCTACAAATATCCTAAAACGCAACATGTGATTGAAACCAGTTCAGCAAACACCGACAATACCGCGTGCGACATTTTTCAATGTAAGGAGCAATTGTTTACATGCCATATATGGCAAGTGTTCTCTGTATGGAAGCTGTTCGCCTCGAAGTTTCAATTATCGATATCAGGCAAGTCATAAGGGATAATAAATCTTTATTGCATCAATAGGAAGCTAAAGTGAGTGCATATGCCCCAATATATAAAATATAGGCCAAAATATTGTAGGAAATGTGTGACATTGTGCCTTTAATGACAAATTTGAATGTTACTTACTTGACATAGACATCAATGCTTTCACCACCAAATATCTCTCGAAAATTTCCAAGGAAAATGTTGCCGATCGGTCGTCCTGGTATCTGAAAAGAATAGATTTTGTTTTGTTGCTTAACACTGAACTCAGCAATATTCCAGCTATATGATGACAGTCAGCGAGCCTGACCACCCGATCCTGTTAGTCGCCTCTTATTACAAGCATGTGTTGATGAAGGCCAATTCTAATCCTGACCTTCATGGGTCTGGAAAGAATAGACGTTGATAAGGACACACTAAACATAAAGAAAATATATAGATATAATTTAGAGCCCACCATTTCAAATTTTCATTATTTGTTGGTCCACTAAGATTTCTATCTGCACACTTCTTCACCTGCCTACTGGATGTATTTCCGCATCAGGTGCTTCAATAAGCAGAGGTACAGATAAGCTGTGTGTCTGCATAAATGATGCAAATATTTACATGAGAACTCAATTCCTATTAAGTCTATTGCGTACAAGTACGCTTGTACTTTTGTAAATACTCAATAAATTTGATCTTACATGCGTACACACAAAAATGTGACAGAGATTACCGAGGATAGATCAAATAACTGAGGTATATTGAGAGATTCTATTTCCTCACATTATGAGCTTGGCAACTTGCAGTCTTTCTTACTGTTTCTCATTACAGACCAAATACAAATAACAAACATAAACCAACATTTAATCTTGATTATATGTTTTACAATTAATGGAAAATGGCAAAATACCCAAATGAGTTTTGAGGAGGTGGGTACAATATATTTGGTTACTCAAAGAAAAAATTAGGATACCCAATTGAGATGAACACAAGCTAGTACATAACTCAATGACCCAAAACATTATCTGTAGCTCTGAAATAAGGTAGCCTTGACCTTAACTCCGATTGCTAAAAGTGTCACAAAACCCCACCTGCCAATAGGGCTGGCTGAAATAATAGATAATCGGAAATATTGTCGACAGGAAAATTATTAATGATCATCGATTTGAAAATTGTGTCATGATATTATCTCATATCTTTTGTGGTTGAAATATAGTTTATTTTTCACACAATATGCAATTTTATGACTTTGTTAAATTATGTTCAGGGCACTGTTTTGTTAATAATCCATACATAAACATGTCCCAACTCACCAGTGATGTGAAATATATTAATTTCTATCAGACATTTTTGCTCAAAGTTACGTCTTTGATATTTATCAACAATCAATCAATATTTAATTAACAAGTATCAATCTCTTTGATCTATATCAATAGCCAGCCCCACTTGCCAATCCTTACCTTTCGGAGTGGGGTTAGATATGGCCTCAGGATGACCTTGTAGAACCCATACGACAGGCCGAATATGATTCCATAGACCAGAACTGAGCTCCACGTCACTGCCTGGCTGAGAGAGGAGTACACTCCCATCACGCTACTGATACCAGCTTCCGACATATTGTTGTGTCAGCACTAAAACACAGACCAATGTACATGAATGGCAAAAACTGTTTTATTATTTGAAAACATAAAATAACATATCATATATCTTCCATTCTTAAATTGGGTTTTAGCAAATGAAACATTATCAGCTGAATGAGTGAGTGAGTGAGTTGGGTTTTATGCAGTGTTTAGAATATTCCAGCAATATCATGGCAGGGGACACCAGAAATGGGCTTCACACATTGTACCCATATGGGGAATCAAACCCGGTCCTCAGGTGTGACGAAAGTAAAAGCTTTAACCACTAGGCTACCCCACTGTCCCATTTTCAGTTTAATACCTTTTCTTTAATCCTTGAAAAAAATCATAACAAGAGTATTGCAGATAAAAACATAATCTTTTAACATTGTCATTTTTTGGTCTACCTTAGGGCATGTGAACTTTGTATTGCACTACGGCTGTACGGGGCAATCAAACTAACTTTGTCCATACACACATGCCTGTATATTCGTTTAAAATTATTTTTTACTTTTCTTTGACCTATGAGATACTATTTTTTTTGATTAATTATCGCCTTTTTCATACATATACTAGTATATATTTGGTCTGAAATTGCTACCTCATGATATAGAGTATGTATGTATGTATGTATGTGTGTGTGTGTGCGTGCGTGCGTGCGTGTGTGTCTGTATGTGTGTATGTATGTATGTATGTATGTATGTATCATTTGTATGCACTATCTGGATGTTCAATCTCAAAAGTCTCACAAGAAACAAATGACTAGACACATTAATCACATTAAGGTTTGAATTTGAACAAAATGTTAAATAGATTGTTACCATATTCAGAGACATAATTTCAACTCATTTACTTTTTGGTCAAAGATAATGAGCTTGTGGATCATGTATTGCAGATCATATCAGCTGTAACCATGGAAACAGTGAACAATTCCTGTAATCAAAGCATAAAAACACAACTTTCAAAATCAGCTTCCTTTTTTCCCCAAATTGCACAATTTCAGCATATTGGGGGATCATCCATTATAACTGCAGGAGGATTACATTTTGGGGGGGAACAATCTTTTTTTTGAATTGCGTTATCCAACAAACTGTTTACCCTGTTTATGTGGCAGATGAGGGAGGTAGGATAGCCTAGTGGTTAAACCGTTCACTCATCATGCAGAAGGCCTGGGTTTGATTCTACACATGGGTACAATGTGTTAAGCCCATTTCTGGTGTCCCTCGATCGCCATGATATTGCTGGAATATTGCTAAAAGCGGTGTAAAACCAAACTTACTCTCTACTCCTTGGCAGATATGACTCTTGTCCATATTTATTTAATTATGCTTCAGTTTTTCCTATTGTCTATAAATAATTAAGTTGTCAGGATGATTTAAATGCTTTTTAAACCAAAGCAAGGATGTGCTTGACTGACCAGCCGGCAAACACTCCGCCCATGGACAGGTTGCCAGCATGCTATTTGACTCAGGTTACTTTAAGAAGTTTCTATACATTTATACTGCATGTTATTGCATTTAAATGTCACACTACATGTTATATTAAAGTAACTTAATAAGTGTTTAATATTGTGCATTACATGTAGTAAAGTTGGCTTATAAATTGTAAACTTTTGTAATTACCAATACATAGCTTTTCTATCTGTTTATTCCTGTGTGAAAAGAAAAGATTGTCTGTGTTTTACAAAAGTAAATGTTTTACCCTGATAATACTCTGGATAGTTGCATCACTGTGGTCGAAAATGTAATCGAGTCTAGACCAGACAATCCAGTGATCAACAGCCTGATCATTGATCTACACAATTGGGATACGATAACATGTGTCAACCAAGTCAGCGAGCCTGAACTGAAGATCAAGGGTAGGCATACAATTGCATGTATACAGTCAGACCTCGTTTATCAAAACACTTTGTTTTTTTATTGAATTGCTCGGACAAACGAATCATTTGGATATCCGAACCAGGACCTAGGTGGTCGGCTGCACATGAATACAAAACAACTAAAAATAACATTGAAACATAACTACATCTTTATTTAACATAACATCTTGCATAACATAACATAACATAAATTAAATCGGCTTGAAAAGTCTTTGATTGATGATTGTTGACGGACAGAGTTGTTATTCGCTGCTTGGATTTTTTTAACAAAGCCGACATTTTCAATTGTTTCTTCTCTAATTAACCTACAGGTCTACTCCCATTTGTGAGAACTCCCAATTGTGAGACTCTCAGTTATGAGTGAGTGAGTATGGTTTTATGTTTAGCTTTTAGCAATATTCCAGCAATATCAGTAGGGGGACACCAGAAATAAGCTTCACACATTGTGCCCATGTGGGGAATCGAACACGGGTCTTCTGCATGACGAGCCAACGCTTTAACCACTAGGCTACCCCACCGACCCACTCCCAGTTATGAGACAGTGGAGTAGGTAATTAACAAAGAAAACACACCATACTCCCCTGCCTGATAGAATAGATTAACCCTAGCTAATTACTGATTTGCTATGTAACTGAATCTTGTGGAGGTAACTTAATGAAACTTTATAAGATAAATTGATTATCATACTCAGGTAAATGTCTTTAAAATTAAACATTTTGTTAGTAGGTAACCGTGATCATTTGAAAGAGAAATTAATAAACTACAAGCTATAGTTTAAGAAATAACTCTGAAATACAAGGAATTTACAGTCGAACTGCCTCTTATGCCAATCCTTTTTACCGGACACAATAAATTTATGGAATGCCCTACCAAATTCCAAAGGGTCATGTAGTCTCACAGAATTTAAAAACCTAATTACAAAAAACGAAAACAAGATTTATATTGACCTTAATTATGGCTCTTGTTTTTGTCACATCGTTCACTGCCGACTCACGCTCGGATCTAGCGACCTCAACGCCGATAGGTATAAAAGACATTTAATAGACAGTCCATGTTGCTCTTGTCGATATCAGAGTGAAAACGCCCTACACTATTTTCTCACTTTATAAGAACTAATATGTACTTTACACTACCCGTTATAACCTGGGTGCCGTTCCACTAACCGATCTTATCTAAGATCAATCTTAGCAAGTTACGCTAATTTTACAATCGTCTTAGCTAAAAGTTACACCCGTTCCACTAACCGATCTTAGGCCGATCGTAGCCGGTCCCGATCTTACGATCCGATCCAAGCTTAGATCGAGACTCTTTCGTGCGAGAGGCACATTGTTTTTAAGGAATGGAGAGTTACGAGGATATTACCCTACTTAAATTACATTCAAAGTATTGGGAATATTTCTGTTATCAAAGTTATATGTCAAAATGACAAAATGAAGTCTTTAATTTGAAGCTGGTACACATTGCTCCATTCCTGAAAAGTAATGGAGCGAGCAGACAATGGAATAGCGTCACAAATGTAATTTAATCTTGAATCACACAGCGGCTTGCCTTTAGAATCCCCACCAAATATGCGCGAAGTGAAATCAAACATATTTGTGTCTTTTTGCTTCAGAACATTGTTCACTTCACAGCTGTCCTTATTCTTAACCATGGCGTTGCAATATTGTTGTACAAATGTGTCACACACCGACTCGCTCGGTTGTGTTCCCATGACGACAGTGGTCAGACTTGCCTGACATTTGTAAGGCTTCAGTGCAGTGTTTGTTTACATCACAGAAATATACAAATTCATTTCTTTGGGGATTTTAGGGGAGGCTCACGGTGAAATGCTCGCTCTTATTTTTCACATAGAATAGGAAAGCCACCATTTTGGTTTCTCTATGATTGATTTTAGCTATCCTAAGTTGGTCATGAGCAGCTTAGACTTTGAATCTTAACTTTACGATTGACTTAGGTAAGATTGGTTAGTGGAACGGTATGCCGATTGTAACGTCACGCTAAGATTGGGATTTTAGGGGTTTACGATTGGCATAGGGCTAAGATCGGTTAGTGGAACGGCACCCTGGATACCATTTTGAACGGAAACAAAGAATTTACTCCTTATGTAAACCAGAAAATAGTTGAATCCGTCCACGATTATATCATCAAGACACAGCGGCTTCAAATTTGCTCAGGAAAATGCTTTAAATTAACTCAACAGCCTTCTCATGATTGATTTATATTCCTACAATAGCTTGTTAGACACACACAACTGTAACTCTCTGATTATGACTACTTAGAGAATAGTTGTATTTGATGTAATCTGTATATATTTATATGTACTTAAAAATATATTTATGCAATAGTCAATATCGATGACGTCACATCCTCCATTTCATTTTGTAAATTATGTTGCATGGGAGCGGTGTTAACATAAGCAGTAATGCTTGTTCACCAATCCCAATTCATTTTCATAAATAATAATAAAATATGTTTAAACCAAAATGACTTTCAAACTTCAGAAATAGTCAATAAAAATGTGTTATCATAATTACATATTCTACTGAATAAATAAAATATTTAATGAACTATTTCTTCTGTGTAAATGATAATAGACTTCATGCCTCCTGTTTTCATCCCTTGCCCGACAACAGACCTTGGGTTTTGATTTACATATTTTTCTGTTGTTTTATATTTAAAATTGACCGTTCGGATAATGGAAACCGAACATTCGGATATACAAGGTAAATTGTAACTAGAAAATTTCATTTTTTGTGAAGAATGTCAGAAACCGATGTATTCGGATATCTAAAGTTCGGATATACGAGCTCTGACTGTATATAGTATATATTTGTTTAAAATATCAAATGTATCATGCTGTAACTATGTTAATTATTTCTATTACAAGATAAGTCTATATGAACCATATAACCTGGTACCTGTTGACCATAAGAATGTCCACATGGATTTCCATGGTCTCAGACGTTACAGCAGTTAAAGTTGTAAACACACTCAATGTGAACCTTTATAACAGATTGATCTTACACACATAAATACTTTATTACAATTTTTTCTTTTCGTAACCCTCAATCATGCAGGGGGTGGAGCATTTCAACTTTAGTATCGTAACCATTCACAAATGCATGTATGTTTTCATGTGTACACACATATATGTTTGTCATAATTGAACCATCACCTGAGATACATTAGATGTTACCAATACCCTGGGTGTCTGACAATGCGGGGTGTCGTCCATGGACCCCGAGACCCACGCTAAGGCGAGGGATGACTGTAATTTGTAAGAAATTCATACTCTTATTAAAATTAGACTAATTAATGAAGCTATAGTCTTATGTACTTGGATAGCACACTGATTGTAGGCTTACTGTGAACTTAGCAATATCACGGCGGGGGACACCAGAAATAGGCTTCACACATTGTACTCATGTGGGGAATCGACCACCGGGTCTTCGGTGTGACAAGTAGCCAACATGCTACCCCACCGCCGTACTGTATTATGTAACAGCTAATAACAGTAAAACCTGTTTTTCATGCTAAACTGATACCAGGGTGTGCTAATGTAACTACTTACTTACTATTCTTCCTTTGATATTCTTTTTATTTCACCCTGAAGCATTGATTACCAATGTCATGTGTAATCAAACTCCGGCCAAATAAAACAAGTGTTTGCCACTGATATGGCAATGTCCCCCGCCGCTAAAAAATGGAATATTTATAACATATTTACTACTTTTTATTTTTTGGTCACATACAAGATGCCTGAAATGACTGGTGTCTGCATAATCATGCAATGTAGGCTGTTGACAAAATTGAAGACATTGGGTACAATGTTTTATGAGATGTCGTGTTTACATAAGTTTGAAAGGTGGTCAAAGTGTCTTGGTGACCTTGAAGATAAGGTCAAGGTCACCCAAATCGACTGGTGTATGCATAATCCCCCAATGTAGCCTGTCACCAAATTTGAAGACATTGGGTACTACAGTCCATGAGATTACGCATTAACAAGAGTTTGAAAAGTGGTCAATATAATCATGATAATTGTTGGCATTCAGCTAGTATATTCCCGTTCAAGCCCAGGTGAACTATGAGAAACCAAACATGATTTTGTACATGACAAGCAGGTGTGTGTGTATATGTGTTTGTGTGAGAGAGAGAGAGAGGGGGGAGGGGTCCAATTACACCAGAGATGATCTAGATAATGCTTACAGACTAGTGGTAGAAGAAAATGTGTCCGCACAGAGAGCAGCAGCCAGGTGGGGGGTTCCGGTTTCTACCCTTAAGGATCGTTTGTTGGGCAATATCAGCGTAGATACTGTCAAGTCGGGTCCCATGCCTCTGTTCTCCTCACAAGAAGAATCCTTTTTAGCGAGCCATATCAGAGTTATGGGGGAGATTGGCTATGGTTATCACGCGTCAGGAGACCATTAATCTTGCAAGCGATTACGCTGCCAATCAAGGACACAGAGACAGAGATCATCCTTTAAGTCTCCGATGGCTGTACAGTTTCTTAGATAGATGGCCGGAACTTAAAGTACAGAAACCGAGGAAACTTGAAGCAGCGAGGGCGAGATCAGCCACCAAAGAAAACATCAGTCGGTATTTCACAGAACTCTCCAACGTCATGCAAAAGTACAACTTTCAAAGTTCACCCCAGGCAATTTTTAATATCGATGAAAAGGGACTATCAACTGATGTAACAGCACCCAAAATCGTCGCCGGGATACATTGCAAACCACAGACCGTGACATCTGGGAAATCACAAACGGTAACAATGGTTGCCGTTGTTAACGCAGCTGGTGGCAGCGTTCCCCCTTACTTTGTATTTCCTGGACATCGTATGAGAGATGAGCTGTTATCAGGAGCTACACCCGGTACTGGAGGCACAGTTTCAGAGACAGGGTGGTCTAATACAGAAGTATATTCAGCACGTATATGAAAACGCACCTGGTCCGACACTTGCCTCTCATGGCAGCCGACTCTCCCGTTCTCATCCTCTATGACGGACACAAAAGTCACGTTTCCCTTGGATTGATAGAATGGGCACGCGGAAAATCACATTGTCCTATTTGTTCTTCCCCCTCATACAAGCCACCTCCTACAGCCACTGGACATCGGATGTTACGGGCCTTTTGAGGCGACATGGATACGATCATGTCATTCATTCTTAAGAGTGAACTCTGGAAAAGCTATCGGAAAGCATGATATATGCAGCATAGCATGTCGTGTTTTCAACTCAACGTTAACTCCTGTTAACATTTTGTCATCTTTCACAAAATCAGGAATCTTCCCCCTCAGCCCCGAAGTGATTGATGACTTGGCTGTAATGCCTGCCCGATCTTTCTCTAGACCGACACCCGCGGTTTCAAATTCAACAGATGCGGCTTTCATTACAGGACACCGACGACAGACTGGATACTGCAAGGACATTCTTGGAATGTCGGGTGGAGAAGTTTTGAGAAATGTTCAAACATACAAGCCAAGGAACACCATCAGTAAAATCGTTGGCGGAAAGTCATCACAGATCAGGCAGTTGTTGACAGGATAGCCGAGCACAAGAAACAGCATCCAGAGAAACGGAAGGCTGATAAGGAAGTCGGCAAGGGAAGAAGAAGTCAAGCGGCACTACATCGTTGTCCACATCGTCCCTGTTGTCTAAAGGGAATTCTGGCCACAATAAGTCAAAGGGAAAGGACCGCACGCAAGAAAAGCATAGCGCTCGCCCCCATCAACAACCTTCTCAGACAGTTTTCCGACAGTGCAACTGATGACCCGGCGAAGTTTGCTGTGTGTCGCGGAAAATTTACACCGATGCATTGCATCGTTGTGACTCAATCACGTTTGTGAAATGGGCACAGTGTGACAAATGTGGTCACTGGGTTCACCTTGTATTTTTTGTACAAGTGTCACCGTTTTACGTACACATGCGGCATTTTTCTGTCCCCACTGTGATCACAGCCCAGTGGAAGAGTGAACTGCATTCACAAACTGTCATCAACAGTGTATATAACCTGTTTGGATTTCATCGTTATCTGTGCTTGAAATTGTTGAACTGACATTATATTTTAACTCTTAAAGATTGACAAGTGACTAGGAGACACGAATTTGCCTTGATGAATTATATCTACATTGGAACACCATAGATATTCTGTGTATAACGTTATCGCCGAAAACTGGTGACGTAATGCTCAAGTTGCCAAATATAGAACGTTACGGTCATGGCGGCCTTGCTCAACCGACGAAGCCGAGAGAATCATAAAAAAAGTAAGAGGAAACACCTTGGCTAACGTACTTTGTCTTGAATGTAAAATATTTTTATTACGATAGCATGGTTACATATGTACCGCGAATCGCTGTTACGTCGCCGAAAACTGGTGAAACTGGGATATAAATTTTAGGGAGGGCCATTCACATTCTACATACCGGAACTCTATTAATCATCATCACACTTAAAAGGTGCTTCGCGAGTTATGTCAACTCCTGTGATCGACTTCAACAAAATGTTTGGCAAGCTGCAGATTAAAAAGCTTCTCTTGTCACTGTTTCCACTTTGAACAGTAACACGGATATGTATACGGCTTTGCTCAGCCTTTTCCTTACCACCGGACTTGAATTTAACAGGAAGTCACGGGTGTCAGTCCTCAATAAATGTGACAAAACAACAAGATGACAGTACACTAATCTGTCACAAAATATCCCTTAAATGTCAACCGTACACTTACGTTATGTTCTTTGACTAAGATGATAAAACCTTGCCTCGTCATACATAATATTCGCCCTCTGAATGCGTAAACAAATTAGAGTTACCTCCCTTGAAAACTTCTCGACTAGTACTTTCGCTTCCTTACGGTAAGCTGGTTCCCGGCTCCCTTTGCGCGCGCTAACGTTCGCCAAAGCTAGGAGCCGGTGTAGGCTGCCATTTAAAACGCCCTGCTCGTTTATTTGACGTCACGTCCGGATTGGTCAAGCTGGACTCTGTCTGTATATTGAAGTCGCGCTGAAAGATCTGGGAACCAGTTAATCCCCTGCATGCCACCATTTTTTGCAACTGTTTCTGGATAAATTCACATGATGCCATCACCATTCTTATGGACATGGATGCAAAAATTGAACATGTTCAGTTGTCTACTATAGTACATTTCTGTTTGACTCAAGTTTGGAATCATTATGGTTTGTTGGTTGTTAAATGAATACACATCTACTGCTGATTTTGAACAGAGTTCGGTATCATTGTTTAGGATTCTTTGAAGATCCTCCCATGACAGTTTAGCCTTTAGACCATCAGTGTTTATTTTGCTGTACAACTGGTCAGCCAGCGTTAAATGGGCAGATCCATTTCACTTACTGACATCAGCTGCTGATCGAGATAATAAGTAGAAATTACTGAATATTTTCTGAAATAGAATCATTTTAGTTTTTGGGGATGAAAAATCTGTCGGCCATTAAGACCTGCTGAAAACAAAAGCTGTAGGTCCGGGTGGTTTTCAGTCGGGCCTAAGGACCGAGGTTAATTTCAAACGCTGCCGAAGATCCGGGTTCGATGGGTACAATGTGTGAAGCCCATTTCTGGTGTCCCCCGCCGTGATATTGATGGAAAATTGCTAAAAGCGGGGCTTAAAAACTAAACTCACTCTCTCATTCACTCTTAAAATGCTAATAAGTAATATATAGAGTATGGTGATCGAAGTATCGAGTATGAATTTCCGTATGGGTCCCCCGTGAATGCATAAATGCTGTAAGCCCTGAGCTGCACGCGGGGCTGTTAATCAGTAATTCCTGATAACTCGTTGGTTATTCTTTAATGTTCGACTTGAAGCCCATTCCTGGTGTCCCCGCTGCGGTATTGCTTGCTTATTGCTGAAAACGTAAACCATTTCTCACTCACTTACCGAAGCGGTGGTGTAGCCTAGTGGTTAAAGCCTTCGCTCCACATGGAGGAGCCGGGTTCAATTCCACCCATGGATACAATGTGTGAAGTCCATTTCTTGTGTCCCCCACCGTGATATTGCTGGAATATTGCTAAAAGCGGCGTAAAACCATACTCTCTCTCTCTCACTCATACACACGATGGAATGAGCCGTGAAGGTCTTGGTTAGAATATTGGCCTTCAGTAACCCATGCTTGTCCTAAGAGGCGACTGACGGGATCGGGTGGTCAGGCTTGCTGACTTGGTTGACACATGTCATCGGTTCCCAATTGCGCAGATCGATGCTCATGCTGTTGATCACTGGATTGTCTGGTCCAGACTCTATTATTTACAGACCGCCGCCATTTACCTGGAATATTGCTGAGTGCGGCGTAAAACAAAACTCACTCACTTCTACCAGATAAAACCCAGACAGATGTTTTTCCAGATTGTTGTGCAGAAAGTCGCCGAGAACAACATTCTTTTGGCACCAGTGACTATGTTCACAGACTTTGAACAAGCTGCCCAAAATGCTACCAGAAATGTGTTCAGCTGCCAGCTGAAAGAATGCATGTTCCACTACCGTCAAGCGATATGGAGAAATGCTAAAAAAGGTGGTCTCCAGAAGCTCTTCAACAAAGACCCCAGTGTAAATAGACTCAGCCGTCATGCCTCTGCCATTCACGTGACCTTGACGACATCTGGTTGAATGCCCTTGAGAATGTTGACGTTGAAGATGCTAGGATTGTGAGATTCCCTGGCTATTCAACTGAACAGTGGGTCAAGGTGGATGGGCGTAGTGTTTCGAACCACTTTTATACAATCGGTTCCAGGACCATCAACCACTTGGAAGGTTGGCACTCAAAACTAAACAAAATAGTCCATCCAAGCATCTTCAAGTTCGTGGATATAAAATAACAGCAGCCACATGCCGAGACTGTTCTGGTGGTAGTCTGGCACCAAAAAGAAGAAAATATCGTAATCTGGATACAAAATTGAAAGTGAAACTAATGACTTGCTGACCAGAAGTAAATCTCCCAGATGTTGCGTCGCATTTGGTTGGGTTGTAAATGACAGATGTCATGTGTTATGTTATGTATGTTATTAATATATGCATGTATGTGTACAATAAAATGAATAAATTATGTGAGTAAAGTATTTTAGGAGTTTTTCTTAATAGTTTAAAAATCTGTTTTACTGCAACAGACTATAGTTAATCCCTCCATTGTTTACCTATCTACCATGGTCGACTGAACCCCTACTTAGAACAATAGGTGCAGGCACAATTAGGTGTCCCCCAGCCCCCACCCCCCAAAAAAAATAAAATAAAAATAAAACAAACTAAGAAAAAGAAACACAAAAAACCAACGAAACACCAAACCAAAGATAAAAAAACAAAAACAAAACAACAACACCAAACAAAACAAAACAGAACAAATCCCCCAAAACAAAAACAAAGACAAAACAAGTAAGAACCCTCACCAGACTATACCGTTATGATTCAGGAGAATTTATAAACGCAACTGTCTCTGAAATAGACATATTTCACAGAGAAGAAACGGTTATTTCACTTCCTTCAAATATTACAGAATTTCATTTATCTGTATTGGAATTATTTGTTTCAGGATTGTGTGTGACTATACACTCCATGGCTCCCTCATTTAATGACTCATTTTAATCAGTGTTTATGGGGACTTGTGTTCAGCTTCGGGATATGGATCATTATGAAACACTTAGAAGACTTGCCAGACAAATGGCATTCGGCTAATTAAGCGTATTGTATTTGAATACACCACTATGCTTTGGGTGGCGTTAAATGGAGATAGGGAAATTTCTACATTATTAATGTTCGGTTGTTTTTGTGAAATTGATTACAGCAAAAATACATATGTGAGGCACTACACAGCTGGAGTGCTATACTGATTCACGAAGCGATAGTCAGAAACGTTTTTCCTGAACGACAGCAAGAAAATACAAATATTTTTACTTCGAACTGTAAAGTGAGTGAGTTTGGTTTTACGCCGTATAGGGCAATATCTCTGTATTATCACGATGGGGAATATTATGAACGGGGTTCACACACTGAGCCTGTCTTGGGATCGAACCCGGGTCTTAGACGAGCTAATGCTTTATCCACTAGGCTTCCCTTATCGCTGGACTAGTGACTGGTCACTCTGCGCGGACATCACACCGTGTCATGGATAATTCCGCCTTTGTGTACTTACAGGTCAGTCATGGATTATATTCTTTGTTTATTTAATCCCATACTCAGCAATAGTTCAGCTATATGACGGCGGTCTGTAAATAAGGCTCGCTGACTTGGTTGACACATATGTCATCATATCCCAAATGCGTAGATTGATGCTCATGCTGTTGATCACTGGATTGTCTGGTCCAGAATATTTACAGACCGCCGCCATATAGCTGGAATATTGCTGAGCATGATTCTAGTCAACAGTTATATGATTGCATGTATTAATCAAGTCAGAGAGGCAGACCAACCGATCCCGTTAGTCGCCTCATACGGAAAACATGGGTTGCTGAAGACCAATTCTAAACAGTGTCGGTCACGGGTCTTATAGGTATGGATTCAAAATACATTAGTCTGTGCGTGTGTGCTACGTCTTATCGTCACAGTTAACTTATGAGAACAAATGAAGACCTAATACACTCACTGACGCCACGTGTGAAATGCCATCACCAGCAGACAGCCAAACATAGCCTGTGATGGTAACAGTAAATAGGTATCAGTGTGTGGTATATAATATCATTTTATTGGTGACTATTTTGAGAGTGGCGTTCATGTAGGAGTTTGTTTTCATCTTTACGACCACAACACGCAGCCATTAAAGGGAAACTGAACAAATAGGTATTGTGGCCTATTAAATGTCATTCAACACGCTGTAGTGCAGGGGCTTATGTAGCAAATATGCCTTCCGTGGGAAGTGCATGTTAATGTTTGGAACCACTGATAATTGTAATCAGTATTGCATATGGATTCAGGAAAACCATGGTTCCATTATAAGTGTCATTCTGAGGTAGCTGAACACCGGTACCCATAATCGACTGCAACACCAATGTGAGAAAAACATATTTTTATAAACCTATCACAACATAGGCATGTAGTATGTCAAAATGTACCTTGTGATGGGTGTTTTACAACTACCATTATATATCATGAATCTCAATAATATATGTATGCATAATAAGTTCTATGATCATAACTGCCTCTGCAAAATCAGAAGATTTGTTGCAGAGGGTATGTCTTCAACCCTGTTTGTGTGTGTGTGTATTTATGTGTTAGCATCTTTACTCAAATACTACTAGATGGATTTCAATGAAACTCTCTGAATCTCTTGGGTATGTCCACAGGACAAGTCAATTAGATGTTGAAAAAGTACATTCTTCAAAAAAGAAACCAAAAACCAAAATATCCTTGAAATATTTGGTCTTATTCAATGATATGTAAATCAACGAAAATAAACGATGCAGCATTGAAATTATGTGGAGCAATACATTGGTATCTCGTGCACATTTCACAAGAATGACAGGCATCATAGTCATTACTGCTGTCCACGAGGTGACATTGACGTTACTGCCTTGTATGACCACCTCTTACCACTAGAACCGCACGACACAGATCGAATCAGTTGTGTTTCGTTTTGGAATTGTACTCCATTCCTCCTGCAGCATGTTGAACAACTGATAAAGGGTCAATGGCGGATTACGACGTTGACGTACACGTTAATCGATCTGATCCCACATATAATCAATTGGTTTCAGATCCGGGGATCAGGGGAGGACAGTGATGTTGTTGATGGTAGTCCACTGTAGCACGTGATGTGTGAGGTCTGGTGTTGTCCTGTTGG